CTGACGTTTTTAATTGTGTGTGCAACTTATGGCCATTTTTGGCACTTTTCCTGGCAGCATCGGACCCAACTCCGCCAACAGTTTTGGTCAGTACCATCTTAAGACCTTGAGAATCAAATGTTATTTAAAGCTTTAAAGTCAATGGAACGCTTTCGCCGTGATGTGGAGGCAAAAAAACCCGCTTGAAACAACTTTAATTAAGATTGGATCTCATCAGAGAGCGAAAAATGACCTTTTATACCCATAAAATACTAAAAGTCTGATGTCTCACCCTATTTATAACAATTCTTATAGATGAACACTTAACCCTAATGAGTCTGTGCTGGTGGGGGGGGGGGTGTGTTCACTGCTGTCATGATATGAAGGAATGTCCTAAACTTAAGCCTCATTAATGCTCTTAAATTAATTCTAGCACAGAATATAAATCCAGTGTTTAAGCCTTAATTTCCATTATTACACTAAGTGAGCGTTTCTCTCATCTTTTCCCACAGTTTGTGCCCCAGTTTCTCTGTGTATTAGCTAAAGGGGGCAGTGATACGGAGAGGGGGGGGCTTAATAAATGCACAGTAACAATTGGCAACACACACACACACACACACACTCTTTGTAGTCCCTGCAGCCTTGATCCCGGATTAACTATCAAACGGCCCTTTAATGCAGGTTACCAGGGGTTTGAGAACAATTCACTAAAAACAATCAGTTGATTAATTTTAAACGATTTTCCTCGTTTGCCGAGCAAAAAATAATAATAATACTTTTTGTTTTAACTCTCAAAAGGCCCCCTCCCTTTTTTAATCAACAAATTAAGCATAAATCACGTTTGATCTTTATTTACTGGTTGGTAGAGGTCAGGAGAGATTACTGCTTCGCTCTGAATGTCTACACACACACACACACACACACACACACACACACACACACACACACACACACACACACACACACACACACACCACACACACACACACACACACACACACACACACACACACACACACACACACACACACACACACACACACACACACACACACACACACACACACACACACACACACACACACACACACACACACACACACACACACACACACAAGGTTGTGTACTATAAACAATCAAATCTATACATAAACACAATTCTGTTAATGCTTTTTTATGGACATTTTGTATAAATGCACGAGTCTCCCTCCACCTTAAAGCTTTGCCTCCTTACATCACTGTCAAAAGTTAGAAAGTATATGTATTTCAGTAAAATGTTAGTACTTCGACTTTACTAGAGTATTTGTTTTTTATTCTACACTATACTTCTACTCTACAACAATTCAGAGGGAAACTTTTTTATACAATTTATATTTTACAAATTAAGTAACTTAACAGATATAGATTATTTATATATATTTTTTTTCTTTTGTGGACACTGGTCTCTCTAGGAACAGAAGTTATTCATTTACTTCATTTCATGTGGCCCCAGAAGAGCTTGCAAAGATTATAATATGTTTATTATACGGTTACATTGCGATTTACAGGAGCACGTTGCCCATAAACTACATGTCCCACAATGCATCTCAAATTGGACTTTTTTTTCAAAATGTCACTTATTCTTTCTGATTTTGACTTTTTCTCCAGAATGTGGCTTTTCTTCTTTAAAGGTCCCATGTCATGCTTTTCTGGTTATCACCCGTCCCCTTGTGTGTTATGAAGGTTTTTCTGCATGTAAACGGTCTGCAGAGTCACAAACCCTCAAAGTACACCCTGTAGGGAGTAAAACTCTAACACAGAAAAGACCTGTCTATGCTGCCCCAGAACGCCTCTTTGGACATTTATCTTTTTCCATTGTTTTCTTCTTGGGTATAGTGACGTATTTCGGGTATAGTGACGTTACGTTACGTCCGCGGAGCCGTTACGTTTGGACCAATCGGCGGACTTCCTCACACACACACACTCAGCGGGACGTTGCGAGGAGCGAGCTGTGGGTGTGTGTGTGTGCCCAGGCTGAGTTTCGCTGTCTCGCAGACGGCCACTGGGCTCACAGGGAGGGGGGGGGCTCCAACAAGCCGTTTAGGACAGAGAGTGAATACACATACTATACAGAGATGCTGTATGAGAAACCAATGTGAGTTTGGAAAATTGCACAATATACATTTATTCTAGTCGACCTCAACAATGGAATTATGATCAGTAGAAATGGCCATGACATGGGACCTTTAAATCATTTTGTGACATTCTCACTGAAGAGACTTGCAATTATTTTCCCTAGACTTCTGCTTTGAGACGTAGTTAATTATGAAGTTATTACCCTATCTGATAATAATCCAATGCAGAGGCAATCATGTAATATAATACATTATTTGATATATATTAAATATATATGTATATTTATATAGTCTTATATATAAAACTGGCCCAAACTTATTTTCTTTTCTTTATAATGACAACACTTTTTAAACTTTGGCTGTGTATCGATTGTCAAATATAAAGATTTTTGATATGTTTGACTTCCTCTCACACCTGAGAGACAGGCAGGAGAAAAGGATCTGAATACAGGATGTCTGCGCTCTGATTGGCTGAGAAATGCCCCCTCCTGTACATTTAATATCTGAAATTCATCCCCTGAAATCTGACTTTTTGTACCTTAGAAATATCCGTAAAAAGGTCTCAATAAAAGCGATATTGTCCACAAGTAAAACTGTTATCTCTTCTCTGTAAACGGTACGCCTACTGCCTGAACCTGCTTTATGATTTTCCCTTTCTTTGCTTCATTTGTTCTGTTTTTAATACTGTAGGTACCTCTCTTTCACTTTGGTCTATTACAGGTGATTTAGTAACAAGGAACATTGGATTATTTCACTCTATGTGTGACGAAAAGCTGTCAAATCAGACATGGCCAAGCCCCAGCCTACATTAATGACCTGATCCTCTCTCATAGCACAACCCGGGCCCTGAGGTCCTCTGAGCAAGGCCTCCTAAGGGTGCCCCGAACCAGGCTAAAAACCAAGGGGGACCGTGCCTTTGAGGTGGTGGCCCCAAGGCTTTGGAACAAACTCCCCCAGACACTAAGAGCCTCTGCCTCAGTAGAGATTTTTAAGGGGCAGTTAAAGACCCACCTCTTCCGTCAGGCCTTTGGGGCATCGGAGGAGGTGAGTTAGTAGCTGTCTTTTATTGGTGTTTTATCGTATGTTTTATCCTATGTATTACCTGCTGTTGTTTTATGCCTTTTTATGCCTTTTATTCTACATTTTAGTTGTACTGTGAATTGTGTACTGTACTGTAAAGCACTTTGTACATTCGTGTTGAGAAGGGTGCTATATAAATAAAGCTTTACTTACTTACTTACTTACAAAAGTACATTCAAAAGTCCACATAATATCACCACCTGCTGAAACACATTAAGATATGAGTTCATATTCCTTACATGACTGTAAATACATCTCACAAAAGGACTGAACAGCTTCCATCTGTACATCATTCCCTGCTCTGCTGTCATTATCTTGATAAATCATTAGTGGAGTGTTTTTTCCCAGTTATCCCACTGTTAAGTCTTTTATGAACCATTCTGCACAGACCCCCCCTCCCCTCTATCTGAGAAACAAAAAGAGAAAGTCATTTGTGAAATGTCCTGATTATGTGGGGTTGTGCAACGTGAAACAATTTGCCTGATTACTTCCAATTGATCTGGCCTCACGGTTAAAGGCCCGGTGAGCTGCATTGTGTCGTGCAGCGCCGGGAAGAGGAGTAATTTCTCCGATGTGCAGCTGAGCCAGATTACCGCCAAAGCTAAAGCCTCCTGGACGCTGCTAAACCTCCGGGAGGCTAAACACTGGGCTAGCTACCGGCTAACTCTGTCTGCTAAAGCCCTGGGGATTTGTCTGTGGCACAAAGTGAATTAAAGGTGACCTTCTGCAGGAGATGGAGGGAGGAAGCGGAGCAGGGAGGCTGGAGATCTGCTTTGCGTGGACATGTGTGTGTGTGTGTGTGTGTGTGTGTGTGTGTGTGTGTGTGTGTGTGTGTGTGTGTGTGTGTGTGTGTGTGTGTGTGTGTGTGTGTGTGTGTGTGTGTGTGTGTGTGTGTGTGTGTGTGTGTGTGTGTGTAGAGAGCGTTATTGTGAGGAAAGCTCCTGAGATTCTCCGTCTATCCTCCTACTGACTCCTCAAACTGAATACAAACAATATACTCTGTTTACCAGCTCATAGAGTCCTGTTGTGAACCTGGAAATGTTGAGTACCTCAAAGTTGTATGATATACATGTATGGTACGGGGCCCCAGCTCATAGGAACGGCCGGATGCTAACCTGTATATGTTGGGCAATTTGCACAATTAGCATAAATTGCATTACTTAGCATATGTCTCCGTATAAGATTTGGAACATTTGGAGATTATTGAGGATGTTGAATCAATTTCTGACTATCAGAATCAACAATGGCAGTTTTAACCAGAAAGTGTCCATATTGGCACTCCCGATGCGCTGATTTGATGAATGTTTGGTTGATTTGTAAGTTTTAGGGCACTCAAAACTGCCACTTATGGAAACCCAGATGTAAGGAGCTTGACTTCTGTTCTCTGTTTAAAGCTGGCTACACACCAACCCGATTTTGGGAGTCAGAGGCCGTCAGAGGCAGTCGGGCATTCGCGGCGCCCTACTCAGGTTGGTGTGTCCCGCACCGTCGTCTCTTTACGGCACCTTTTCACACCTCCCGAAGGTCAGAGAAAGTCGGCCCAAGCAATCACTCTGATTGGCTGTTCACACTACCGCTGCCTGCTGGTAAGGACAGTTATTGCCACTCGTCGACTGAAGTATTTGCGGTGTGTTCGTAGGCGGGCGGCGTAGAACAACGCAGGCGACGTAGCTGACGTAAAAGTCGGGTCGCCTTCGGTACGCGTTCTTTGGTCTCAGGTGGGTGTGTAGCGGCCTTAACACATCAAATCATTTCAATCGTTTGGCTTCCACTCATTCATTAATTCAGCAGTTTTTTGTCCCTTTAAAGAGACAGGAAGCTGCTCACCTGACTGTTGATGTCCGCTTTGTGCTGCAGGAGAACAGAAACCAGATCCTTGTGTCCTCGATCACAGGCCCAGTGCAGGAGAGCCCGGCCCTGCAAACACACAAAAGGTGGATTTGTTTTTAACCTGTAGAAAAAACATGTCCTGTTGTTTATGTTTGGTTGTTGTGGAAAATGTTAAATCAGTGAATAAGAACTGATGAGATCCTGCATGTTTCTTAATTTGTCTTTTATGAGTTTGAAGACTCAAGAAGAGACAGCTGTAACTCCAAACTGTATGGCAAGGAAATGCATGACATATTTGAATATAAATACAAAGTCAAAACAATGATGTGACCCCTCTTTGGTAATGCCTGAATGCTGACAATAGACCATAAGTAATACAAAAAACTGCAGCATGAATTTGTTTTTGAGTGTCAGCTGTTGGTGTTTAATGCTTTTATTCAAGCAGTAAAGTAAAAATTGGAAAACCCGATATTTGGTCAGAAATATGTACCCATAAAAACTGCATGTGAATCATGTATTAGTTTGTACCCTCATTTTCATAACCATGAAACTAAATGTTATATTGTTTGCAACTTTATTTTCACAGAAAGTGTTGTAGAATTATCTTTAGTTTTAATGTTAGTTTTAATGTACAGACTAGTTTAAGTCCGGGTGAAAACATACAACTCTACGGTGCAGAGAAAACAGGTGAGCCACACAAGAAGGTGGACTTGTTTTTAACCTGTAGAAAATCTGAGGCGTCTAAAAAAATATATTTAAATTGTATTATATGCTCTGACACTGTACGGATGCCCAGTTCTCACAACTCACGTTTAGATTTCACATCACTGAATCCATGAAAAGTTCTACCATCTCCTTCATCTTTCACTACCAAATATGAGCTGTGTGTATGTGTGTGTGTGTGTGTGTGTGTGTGTGTGTGTGTGTGTGTGTGTGTGTGTGTGTGTGTGTGTGTGTGTGTGTGTGTGTGTGTGTGTGTGTGTGTGTGTGTGTGTGTGTGTGTGTATGTATGTGTGTGTGTGTGTGTGTGTGTGTGTGTATGTATGTATGTATGTGTATGTGTGTGTGTGTATGTATGTATGTATGTATGTATGTGTATGTGTGTGTGTATGTGTGTATGTGTGTGTGTGTGTGTGTTTTTTGTGTAAAGACAAATCAAGGTAACCTGCAGTTTGTGATTGATGCACAGGACAGGATCGGAAACCCCCCTACTCTATCTCACACACACATACTACACACACACACACACACACACACTACACACACATTATACACACACAATCCTCTCCTTAGGTCCAAGATCCTTGGTCTAATAAAACCACGCAAGCTCATTTTTCAGTGAGGCCAATTAGGTAAAGCAAACTCTCCAAGTTCAATTCTGTTGCTTAAATCATATTGATCACCGCGGCTGCATGTTAAAATGGAGACGTACGAGCCGGGCCAGAATACCAATAAGTTCCTCCCCCTCTCTCCCTCTCTCCCTCTCTCCCTCTCTCTCTCCCTCTTTCCTGCTCTCCTCTTCCAGGTGTTTTTACTGAAAGCAGAGTTTACTACCTCCAAAAGGATGCTGCACACAGACAAATAAAGTGTGTGTTTTTTTAGGGGAGTTGCAGTGATTAATAAAACATTAGAAGTGTCAAACAGAATGAGAGCAGCGTTCAGAGCGGAGAACACAACATTAACAGAAACACTGACATTAAGAAAGGTCTGTTAGGAAGGAAGTTAAGCACTCTTTATCTAAGAGGGTAGATAAGTAAACATCTTTATTCTCCTCTGCTGAAGAGGACAGAAGTCTTGCTGTATGGAAGGTTTAGCAGTTGTTAGCTAAAGGAATACATTCCCATTAGGATTCTTACACGTTTTGTTTAGCAGGATAATCTCCACATATTAACACTACTCTATGATTTCTGAAGAGAAAGCTAATGTTGGGCTATAAAGGAACTACAGCACGGTCACATGACTTCCCGTCACCCGCGCTAAGCTAAAGGTGGCTAATGTTGGGCTATAAAGGAACTACAGCACGGTCACATGACTTCCCGTCACCCGCGCTAAGCTAAAGGTGGCTAATGTTGGGCTATAAAGAAACTACAGCACGGTCACATGACTTCCCGTCACCCGCGCTAAGCTAAAGGTGGCTAATGTTGGGCTATAAAGGAACTACAGCAAGGTCACATGACTTCACGTCACCACCGCTAAGCTAAAGGTGGCTAATGTTGGGCTATAAAGGAACTACAGCAAGGTCACATGACTTCCCGTCACCCGCGCTAAGCTAAAGGTGGCTAATGTTGGGCTATAAAGGAACTACAGCAAGGTCACATGACTTCACGTCACCACCGCTAAGCTAAAGGTGGCTAATGTTGGGCTATAAAGGAACTACAGCACGGTCACATGACTTCACGTCACCACCGCTAAGCTAAAGGAGGCTAATGTTGGGCTATAAAGGAACTACAGTGCGGTCACATGACTTCACGTCTCCACCGCTAAGCTAAAGGTGGCTAATGTTGGGCTATAAAGGAACTACAGCAAGGTCACATGACTTCACGTCACCACCGCTAAGCTAAAGGAGGCTAATGTTGGGCTATAAAGGAACTACAGTGCGGTCACATGACTTCACGTCTCCACCGCTAAGCTAAAGGTGGCTAATGTTGGGCTATAAAGGAACTACAGCACGGTCACATGACTTCACGTCACCACCGCTAAGCTAAAGGTGGCTAATGTTGGGCTATAAAGGAACTACAGCAAGGTCACATGACTTCACGTCACCACCGCTAAGCTAAAGGAGGCTAATGTTGGGCTATAAAGGAACTACAGTGCGGTCACATGACTTCACGTCTCCACCGCTAAGCTAAAGGTGGCTAATGTTGGGCTATAAAGGAACTACAGCACGGTCACATGACTTCACGTCTCCACCGCTAAGCTAAAGGCGGCTAATGTTGGGCTATAAAGGAACTACAGCACGGTCACATGACTTCACGTCATCACCGCTAAGCTAAAGGAGGCTAATGTTGGGCTATAAAGGAACTACAGCACGGTCACATGACTTCACGTCATCACCGCTAAGCTAAAGGAGGCTAATGTTGGGCTATAAAGGAACTACAGCACGGTCACATGACTTCACGTCACCACCGCTAAGCTAAAGGCGGCTAATGTTGGGCTATAAAGGAACTACAGCACGGTCACATGACTTCACGTCACCACCGCTAAGCTAAAGGAGGCTAATGTTGGGCTATAAAGGAACTACAGCACGGTCACATGACTTCACATCACCACCGCTAAGCTAAAGGAGGCTAATGTTGGGCTATAAAGGAACTACAGCACGGTCACATGACTTCACGGCACCACCGCTAAGCTAAAGGAGGCTAATGTTGGGCTATAAAGGAACTACAGCACGGTCACATGACTTCACGTCACCACCGCTAAGCTAAAGGTGGCTAATGTTGGGCTATAAAGGAACTACAGCACGGTCACATGACTTCACGTCACCACCGCTAAGCTAAAGGAGGCTAATGTTGGGCTATAAAGGAACTACAGCACGGTCACATGACTTCACGTCACCACCGCTAAGCTAAAGACGGCTAATGTTGGGCTATAAAGGAACTACAGCACGGTCACATGACTTCATGTCACCACCGCTAAGCTAAAGGAGGCTAATGTTGGGCTATAAAGGAACTACAGCACGGTCACATGACTTCACGTCACCACCGCTAAGCTAAAGGTGGCTAATGTTAGGCTATAAAGGAACTACAGCAGTGAGAGGCACGTGTTAGCATTTAGCTTGTAGTCATATCTCAGCTTGTTTCTTTGTTAACTTAAGATCCAGACGACGACTGTTTTCCAGAGTGAGCGACAGCAACGTAAAACTATGACTGACATTGATCTAAATTTAGAAATGTTCATTAACAGGTTTTATTTGAGGTCAACACCTGTGTCCTCTCTTTTGGCAAGCAGAACAAATATTTCATTTATATCCACATAATAAAATCTTGTCAGACCGTCTTAACAATTTTATGACTTGAATAAGAAACGTTGTCCTTTTTTTATAAAAACACATCACACATGTACAGGAATTACATTTAAGGAAAGCATAATGTGATATTTTTCTGAGGGACATTTCCAGTTATGATCGTGTTCTTCTGTATATTCTAAGATATCTTAATGAAACTCTTGAATTGAACTCCTTTTATGGTTTCCTGGATTTAAAGGCCAGGCGATATTAAGAACATCTTATATCAGGATATTCTTTAACAAATACCTCAATATTGTACGGTTTTGATAGATAGCTATGAGTCATGTGGATTAATTGACTATGTACAATAATACAAAAGTTACACGTCTCTTAAATGTAGGGTAGGTAAGAATGGAGAAACCAGCTCGAGTGCGCTACAATTTGAAAGTACGCAACCGAAATAAATCTGCCCCTTCCTTCAGACTTCCTTACAGAGCCCCTCCTCCAACACACACGAACGCGCACATGACCAATGAGGGCACGAGGTAAGTTTGTGCACAGATGGAAGGCTGACAGGCAGGTAGGCCAGATGATTGGTCGTGCTTTTTACAGCGCCACGGCTTCCACAGATGACATTTTTTAATGTATTTATTGTCAAAGCATTTAATGTAGTCATTGCTATCGGGATGTTAAAAGCATTCCATGGAATATAACAAAAAGTGTTTCTGAAGTGAATTACCTACCCCACCTTTAAGTTCATAAAGTTACATCACACTTTACCGTAAAGCAGCATCTAAAAAACCAGGAAAATAAATATATTAGGCAATATTACGATTTCCATCAATGAAGACGATTTCTATTCTCATATAACGATTTTGACAGAACACCAATCTGTAAACCAAGATATCTTCGCAGCTCCACAACACTTCAACATCCTGTTTTACCACATATGTAGCGTTTAACAAATACTGTTCTTCCTGCAATTTGAATATTGCATTAGTCTATATTAAGAGTACGATACCGTTTCTATTTATTGTGCAGCTCTAGAAAGGGTTTAGTTTTTCTTTGCACTTTTTGTTACCTTTTGTGTATGAAACATGCTCTATAAATACATTGAGTGATTGGTTTAAATGTGGCCTCACACCCAAACAGTGAGCTCCTCTCTCTCTTCTTGTCAAAGTCAAACTTCACCACTGCCCTCTGCTGCTGAGCGCGCCTCGCTGCAGGGGCAACAACAACAATGGCCTCAGAGACAAAGCTCTCTCTGCAGAGACGCTCCACCATCTGGCCTCTGGCTGCTCGCTCATCAAAGGGAGGCCGGGACCATTTGGCCCGGACGATAATGAATCGGGGAACAGATGAATGGATTCAGGGGTCAATCCAGAAAACACCTCACGAGGGTTATGGCTGTTCACACAATTTACTCCCCTCCGCCTGAGGAGAGGCTCCCATGTGTTGGTGGTTTCACATCAAACCATTATGTAACCATTGCATGAACCGTCCCCCAGTGACCTCTGTGAGTTTCCATCATACTGCACGGATCATTTCAAACTGCCCTCTGCACCGGGTCAGAGCCATAACAGTAACACTGAGGCTGGTGCTGGTGGGTATTAAACCCTCCAATAGGAGGTTATCAAACCCTCCAATAGGAAGTTATCAAACCCTCCAATAGGAAGCTATTATACCCTCCAATAGGAAGTTATCAAACCCTCCAATAGGAAGCTATTATACCCTCCAATAGGAAGTTATCAAACCCTCCAATAGGAAGCTATTATACCCTCCAATAGGAGGTTATCAAACCCTCCAATATAAATGATCAAACCCTCCAATAGGAAGGTATCAAACCCTCCAATATAAATGATCAAACCCTCCAATAGGAAGGTATCAAACCCTCCAATAGGAAGGTATCAAACCCTCCAATAGGAAGGTATCAAACCCTCCAATATAAATGATCAAACCCTCCAACAGGAAGTTATCAAACCCTCCAATAGGAAGGTATCAAACCCTAAAACCAGAAGTTATCAAACCCTCCAATAGGAAGTTATCAAACCCTCCAATAGGAAGGTATCAATCCCTCCAATAGGAAGGTATCAATCCCTCCAATATAAATGATCAAACCCTCCAATAGGAAGTTATCAAACCCTCCAATATAAATGATCAAACCCTCCAATAGGAAGGTATCAAACCCTCCAATAGGAAGTTATCAAACCCTCCAATAGGAAGGTATCAAACCCTCCAATAGGAAGTTATCAAACCCTCCAATAGGAAGTTATCAAACCCTCCAATAGGAAGTTATCAAACCCTCCAATATAAATGATCAAACCCTCCAATAGGAAGGTATCAAACCCTCCAATAGGAAGGTATCAAACCCTCCAATAGGAAGGTATCAAACCCTCCAATAGGAAGTTATCAAACCCTCCAATAGGAAGGTATCAATCCCTCCAATATAAATGATCAAACCCTCCAATAGGAAGTTATCAAACCCTCCAATATAAATGATCAAACCCTCCAATAGGAAGGTATCAAACCCTCCAATAGGAAGGTATCAAACCCTCCAATAGGAAGTTATCAAACCCTCCAATAGGAAGGTATCAAACCCTCCAATAGGAAGTTATCAAACCCTCCAATAGGAAGTTATCAAACCCTCCAATATAAATGATCAAACCCTCCAATAGGAAGGTATCAAACCCTCCAATAGGAAGGTATCAAACCCTCCAATAGGAAGGTATCAAACCATCCAATATAAATGATCAAACCCTCCAATAGGAAGGTATCAAACCCTCCAATAGGAAGGTATCAAACCCTCCAATAGGAAGGTATCAAACCATCCAATAGGAAGTTGTTGACACATTTCTGGTTGTTGTTACCTCTTCGTCTTTATTGTTGACTTCCACTCTCTGGGAGGCGATGGCCTCGCTGATGTGCTCGATGTTGTTTTCTCTGCAGTAGTCGAAGATGTTTTTATCCTCTTCCCTGAAAGAGAGAAACAGAAACAGAAACAAAGGGTTGAATTCCCTGGAAAGTTTGAGACCATGGTAAAAACACCGGCTGCAGAAAGCATAACAGTACATTAGCAACAGGAAGGGTTAGGTAAGGTCTGAGACCTAAGACGCAGGTCAGTCAGAGCAGCTCCTGGCTCTAGTCTTTTTCTTATGCTATCCAGAATCTAAAGAGTTGTTCGGACTCTGAAGACACAACATTGTTCACATCCTTCAAAACCCAAATCTATAAAAAAACATCTCTGTGAAAAGTTTACACTGAAACTAATTTCCACTCGAGAACAAGTCCCAAAGAAGAAAAGAGGTAGCAGTATGTGTAGTAGATCATTTGGATAAAACGCCCCTTTAACTGCCTTTTGAGTCAGATCAGGAGTTTCATGTGTGAAGTGTGTGAGGAGGACCCACGAGAGCAAACGCATACTAGATCATATCGTCACACACACACACACACACACCGACTGTCTGTCTCACACACGAGCAGCACGCGCCATATCTCTGGGGAACACACACACCTGATTATATCTGTGTCTCTAATCACCTCCTGGCATTGGGGAGAGGACAGTGTTGGGTGAAGGGGAGAGAAGGGGTGAAATCTCATTTAGAGCTTTACGCCTTCCCCTCCCTCTCACCCGACGCCGGCCATTCACATTAATTGAATTTGGAGCTCTATTGTCTGACAGGAACCTGCGTACCACACACACACACACACACACACACACACACACACACACACACACACACACACACACACACACACACACACACACACACACACACACACACACACACACACACACACACACACACACACACACACACACACACACACACACACACACACACACACACACACACACACACACACACACACACACACACACACACACACACACACACACACACACACACACACACTTCCTGTCTCCAGCTGTAACACTCATGATGATGCTTCGCTGTGTGATGAGCATGTGACCTTAACAGTGTCATAGGCCCAATTCCAAACCGACCCATATAGACACTCCCAGTTTTCTGGGGTGACGGCATCAACGTAGCGCCCAGTGTCTTTTCTTCTGAGCGCTTCGAGTGGAAAATATTTCAGAAAAACGCCAGTGACGTCAAAGTAGAACTTAGAAGAAAAGCTTGTTTTTGGCCATGTTGGTCAGACGTGACTTGTATCGTCCTTCTCCCCTGTTAGAAACATCTCCCTGGTCCCCGGCTTGATCTTCAATCTCAGGATCCATGTATTTGTGATCCTCTCCAGAATGGAAGTAGTCATCACATACAGAGCATCAACTAGTTCCTGAACAGTGTCCTTCACATGCTGATATCCAAGAGAGGGAGTTACACAGTCACAAGATGGAGGAATAGAAAGCAGTATTCAATGTTTACTTCAGATTAGCTCCACGTCAGAAATGATCATGCTTGTCATATGTCTATCTCCATAGAGGCTGAATCATCATGTTAATCACATAGCTATCATATGCCTCAAACAGTCCTGATGCTCTTCTAGGTAATCATACATCCTGTCATGTTCACAGCTACAGTTGGGATACCTTTGTTATCATGTTACTCTCAGATTAGAAGAGGACATTCAGGATTTTCCCAACTGTAAGCCTGTAATACTGAGCAGTGACATAAAAAGGGTGAGAAAAGGTAAAAAGGAATGTATAGTAGTGCACCCACAGATGATCAAATCCATGCTAGTTTGTCGTACAGCGGCTCATATGTTGTTACAATCCCGCTGTTATAGAAACAATAAGAGCGCTGAGTGTTTTATTGATGACACACACCATGTGGACGCTTTCCTGTTTACTCTGAGGATTCACAAACAAAGTTGAGTCTGCCGTTTGTTCTGTAATGAACCTCTGTACTTCCCTTTCTTCAGCTTTTCATCTCCACGCTTCACCTCCCTCCTCCCTCCCCCCCCTCCTGAGATGAATTATGAATAACTCATTACACTTTTTATCCCGGCCCGGTTATGTATGAGCACATTCATTTACATACTCCTGATTACCAGCGCCGCCGCCATGTTTATTCATGAGTCCCGAGCCACACCCACTTCCTCGTCTGATCGCCACGGTGACCCCGAGTGTCCCTGATGTGTGGCCGCCATCCGTCTCCGCGGCAACTAATCAATAGGCCAGCTCATCAGTCATTGGCCGACACATCCTCACACACATCTACTCCTTTCTCCTGTGTTTATTGGCTAGTTTAGGGTAGATACAGACATACATGTAAATATCTTAAGATAAGATAAGAAGTACTTTATTGATCTGTTTGGGAAATGTTTGCATTGCAGCAGCATAAAAAGATATGGCATTGTACAAACACATTTGAAAGACTAGAAATAAACATTCCAAAATGTCAATAGAAATAAACAGAAAATATACATGTACAGTAATAATATGCACAGAATAAGCTCACATGTGAACACACACACACACACACCTTTTGGTCCAAGAGAAACACACGGGCGATAAACAAACCAATGATTAATGTGAGTCCTGTAAACGACATGACATCAACAGTGCCGCAATGCATGCTGGGAAGGTCACAGGCTACTCTGTCATCACCACAAGCTAGGGGTACCAAGGGTTTGTGTGTGTGTGTGTGTGTGTGTGATGCACTCACAACATGTGTGTGTCCAGTGTGGTGTACTGGCAGATATGTCCTTCATCCATCAGGCTAAACTGGCCACAGTGGTGAGAAAACACTCATCTACCTGACCTGAGCTGCGCTGATCAACACCACGGACACGCCATCCATCACACACACACACACACACACACACACACACACACACACACACACACACACACACACACACACACACACACACACACACACACACACACACACACACACACACACACACACACACACACACACACACACACACACACACACACACACACACACACACACACACACACACACACACACACACACACACACACACACAGGACCTATGGATAAGTGTTCACAGCTGGCTGTACCAAAAAACTATTAAGAAAACGTAAAAAAGCATCAGATTCGTTCACATTATTCAAACAAAGCCTGTTAAACAATTGAACTGCTGAAACAATTTCATAACATTCATCTGCTACTCAGTAATATGTATCTAATATCTAATATATATCATTCCAATAACTTGTATATAGACTCGTACTGCACTATTCCACATACTCACTTTATTTTATAACAATTTTTCTTTTTGTATTACTTTTGCTATCTGTATTGTTATTATGTTGCATTGTTGGAGAAGCCTGTGACATAAGATTTTCAACAACATAATTACTCTGTAGCTATGTTAGTTTGACAATAAAGAACCTTGAACCTTATTTTTCATAAAGCTTATATTTAGGGTTGGCTCAGGCTTACCTTGAACCAGCCATTAATTAACCTGCTATAGTCTTAAAGAGGCCCTATCCTGCTTTCTGGGGTGTTCCCTCTCCTGTAGTGTGGTATATAGGTTTTAGTGCATGTAAATGGTCTGCTGCTATAGACTGAAGACTTCCAGGGGACCTTCATCATTTCCTCTCTCTTATTTTACTTCTCTTTCTCCTTCTGTAGATCTCTGTCCCATAAATGCATCTTAATAACTCAGCATCTGAGTTTCTGTGTCTCCTCCTGCAGGTTGACAGTTTGAAGTCTGCATCAGGAGTCGTGGTCCTGCCTGACGCCCACTTCATTACTTTTTGGCGGCACCCAGGATATTTGACACTTTCTTGGATTTATCGTTTTCAAACATACCTTTACATAATCTTTTTTGGCATTTAAATTGTCTATGAGGTACTTTTACCATGTGTTTTAGTCCATACACACATCGTCTGTTTATCCTTTGTTACTCTCCTTGAAGTGTTTTACATTTTCCCCTTAAACTGTGGGGTTTCTTTGGGAGTTTTCCCCTCGAGGGTCTAAGGACAGAGGGTGTCTGTACAGTACACACTGCAAAGCCCAGAGACAAATATATAATCTGTGATATTTGGCTATATAAATCAAATGTAATTGATTGATTGATTGAAAGCCTCCTCTGTGTTTATCAGAGCGCTTTTTCAAGGTGGCTGAGAGAATTATAAATGTGGCGTTCAAAGCCTCTTCAATCACACACTGATCAGCTCAGCAGCCGCGAGATATCGCTGATCAATCCTGCTTCTGTCGATACGAATCACACACACACACACACACACACACACACATATATATATATATATATACACACAAGACATTGAGATGAGTAATGCAATTAACTCTGTGCCTGGTTAACAGGTGCTTAGCTGTTTAATATGGAGTGTGCGTGAGAGGAAATTGAAATGCAGCAGAGCAGTGAGTGTGACAGTTCCGGAAGGTTCTGCATGGATTCGGATGCAATCGTGTCGATGTATAGTGGCAAGTGTATGTTTATGTGTGTGTGTGTGTGTGTGTGTGTGTGTGTGTCTGTGTGTGTGTGTGTGTGTGTGTGTGTGTGTGTGTGTGTGTGTGTGTGTGTGTGTGTGTGTGTGTGTGTGTGTGTGTGTGTGTGTGATGTTAATGACTTCCTCTCTGCTGGTTTTCCCCTCGGGGAGTCGCTGCTGCTGGAAAATCACCAAGGGGAGAAACATCGTTCTGGGAAACCTGCTGTACCTGCCTCCCTCTGCTGTACTTTCACCCCCCTACTCCCCCCCCCAAAAAAGTAATTAAAAAAGGGAGACTCTGGCCGCCTCCCCCCCCCTCAGAGCTTCGCATACTAATCAGCCATTTAGGAGGAAAACCTGCAGGATTCACACATCTCATTTTCATCTCCAAAAGAGCTCTTTCTCCATTGAAATGAAGATGGGCTTTTTTAAGCTTGAGTAAGTCTGCCAGGCCGAGTAAATGGAGGATATATTTCATTAACATAAATCAGGAGTGTATGACGTCTCCGGGCTCTGACTGCAGTTACGGTCTGTTGAATGGAATCAGATACAGCGAGACGGGAGGTTAACAAAGCCAGAGTGAGGTCCAGGTGACCTCAGCTGCTGGACGGAGAAACAGAGTCTGATCCACTGCATTTAGAGGATTTGGACTCTGGAGACACAACCTAAGAACACAGAGTTTAAGAAGCCCTATTGTGTCTTTTGGGTCCCTGTTCCCTGGGCTCTGGTTTCAGACAGAGGGTGAAAAGAGGTGCTGCAGCACAGGTAGTATGAGACAAGTAAAGAGCTTTTTGAACATTAAAGCATGGAGACATGTCACAGGAGAGACACTACATACTGATATACACCTGAACATCAGCAGGAGAGGACTCTTTAAAGTAGAGACACTACATACTGATATACACCTGAACATCAGCAGGAGAGGACTCTTTAAAGTAGAGACACTACATACTGATATACACCTGAACATCAGCAGGAGAGGACTCTTTAAAGTAGAGACACTACATACTGATATACACCTGAACATCAGCAGGAGAGGACTCTTTAAAGTAGAGACACTACATACTGATATACACCTGAACATCAGCAGGAGAGGACTCTTTAAAGTAGAGACACTACATACTGATATACACCTGAACATCAGCAGGAGAGGACTCTTTAAAGTAGAGGCACTACATACTGATATACACCTGCACATCAGCAGGAGAGGACTCTTTAAAAGTAGAGACACTACATACTGATATACACCTGAACATCAGCAGGAGAGGACTCTTTAAAGTAGAGACACTATATACTGATATACACCTGAACATCAGCAGGAGAGGACTCTTTAAAGTAGAGACACTACATACTGATATACACCTGAACATCAGCAGGAGAGGACTCTTTAAAGTAGAGACACTACATACTGATATACACCTGAACATCAGCAGGAGAGGACTCTTTAAAGTAGAGACACTATATACTGATATACACCTGAACATCAGCAGGAGAGGACTCTTTAAAGTAGAGACACTACATACTGATATACACCTGAACATCAGCAGGAGAGGACTCTTTAAAGTAGAGACACTACATACTGATATACACCTGAACATCAGCAGGAGAGGACTCTTTAAAGTAGAGACACTATATACTGATATACACCTGAACATCAGCAGGAGAGGACTCTTTAAAGTAGAGACACTACATACTGATATACACCTGAACATCAGCAGGAGAGGACTCTTTAAAGTAGAGACACTACATACTGATATACACCTGAACATCAGCAGGAGAGGACTCTTTAAAGTAGAGACACTATATACTGATATACACCTGAACATCAGCAGGAGAGGACTCTTTAAAGTAGAGACACTACATACTGATATACACCTGAACATCAGCAGGAGAGGACTCTTTAAAGTAGAGACACTACATACTGATATACACCTGGACATCAGCAGGAGAGGACTCTTTAAAGTAGAGACACTACATACTGATATACACCTGAACATCAGCAGGAGAGGACTCTTTAAAGTAGAGACACTACATACTGATATACACCTGAATATCAGCAGGAGAGGACTCTTTAAAGTAGAGACACTACATACTGATATACACCTGAACATCAGCAGGAGAGGACTCTTTAAAGTAGAGACACTACATACTGATATACACCTGAACATCAGCAGGAGAGGACTCTTTAAAGTAGAGACACTACATACTGATATACACCTGAATATCAGCAGGAGAGGACTCTTTAAAGTAGAGACACTACATACTGATATACACCTGAACATCAGCAGGAGAGGACTCTTTAAAGTAGAGACACTACATACTGATATACACCTGAACATCAGCAGGAGAGGACTCTTTAAAGTAGAGACACTACATACTGATACTAGGGATGGGAACGATTAATCGAATATTCGAAATTATTCAGGTATTCGAATATGAGAATATGAGTTATGAATATTTTTTTTTTGGGAGGGGTGCCTAAGTTGATTACATATGATCAAATGGAATAATTCAATGTATACGACAGTGCCATAGCTAAGTGTGTTAGGTCTAAAGGTGTGTTTTGCTCCGCTCACCGGTCCCTCACAGCGGGCAGAGCTGCAGGTGCTGGTCTCTCTCTCTCACGTCCGGTTAGACTTCACTCGCGTTTATGTCCAAATCCATCAGAAAACCAAGTTATGTTTTAAGCATGAAAGCTGTAGGCCAATAGCTGTCAACTGTTCAAACTGTGATCACCAGTTCAATACATTTGACAAATTCGACTTGGTTTCTATACTTATTTGAACATGTATTTATTTATTTTTCAAAATGAAATCTCTTTTTTTTTCTTTTTGTAAAAATGTTTCCCACATTTTATTTTATTTTTTATAGAATATGTACATTTCGGTTAATCGGTTAACCGTTTTTTGGGGGGTCGAATATTCTAATATACATTTGCCTTCAAATTCCCATCCCTAACTGATATACACCTGTCTGTGTGTGTGTGTGTGTGTGTGTGTGTGTGTGTGTGTGTGTGTGTGTGTGTGTGTGTGTGTGTGTGTGTGTGTGTGTGTGTGTGTGTGTGTGTGTGTGTGTGTGTGTGTGTGTGTGTGTGTGTGTACCTGATCATCTCCTCCTGGTATAGAGAGCTGACTGTTGCTCCTCCGAAGCCTGTTCTTCTCTTTGCTCCTCGTCCTTTCTGTCAAATTAAAACACAGTCACACATTAGCACTATATATTATATCCGCCTCATACACAACATTTTCAAAAACAGATGTTGGTCACTTACAGGTTTGAAAGCCAGCCACAAAAAGCAGCCAAATGTGAGTGAAATAGGCAAGTAGCAGCCCAAAAAGAAAAAGTTATCTAATCAGACGCTGTTAGATTTTGGTATCCAACAACCACAGTACAAAGTTAATTTCCAGCACTGTTCATGGTTTACAAACGTCTTCTGAGAGCTAGTGTGAAACACCAACCTAATCTAGTTTAGCTCTAATTTTGCCACATACGGAGAAAAGTACTGACCTCATGTTGTTGTGTGCTCAATACAATAGAAAAGGCTTCACTAGGGTTCATGTACCTGTAGCCAGGCTGTGGAGTAACAGATGGTACCTGTATTCCCTTACTTAAAGTGGACCTATCATGCTATATTTGAATAATATAGTGTAGGACCATACCTATATAAGGCATATTTATACTTTTTTTTTTCAAAATACCAAACAGATCATGCATTTTAGCCATGCCTCATTTTGCTCAATTTGACAATTTCTAGCTCTGTTTTTGCAAGGGCAGATAAGGGCAGAACAGCACCACCTACTGGCCTGGCATATGTACTACAGCGTCTCCAGCGCTTTCGAACGGCAATGGCCGTGGCTGTCTCCTCCTGATTGGTGGAGTTGGCCCAATAGCCGTAGCGACACCGTCCTGACGTCAGGACAGTGTTCAAATCTGGATCAGTTTTTATCAGATCCGTTGCAGCCCCTTTTTTAGAGATTTGGGTATGGAGGAAAATAGAGAGGGTTGTGTTTTCTGACACTTGGTGAGTTCCCTGGAACACCGGGGACACATATTCATGTATAAAAGACGTACAAAAGTGCATTTTGCATGATAGGTCCCCTTTAATAAGAGAGATGACTTTTACCTGTCTAAAAATGTTGGATTACCAGCAGGATTACAATGTTAGTAGAAACCTAAAAAGAGCATATCGTGTTTGTAGTAAAAGGATCAGATGTTGTCTCTTCTCTGTGAGCCGTTCTGTTCTGTTGGCTAATACAGGCTTCTTTTCAAATTTTTGATTTTCTTTTCCAAATTCCGGACTTTTTTCTATTCTAACTTATTTTTCAAAATTCTAACTTTTTGACAAAAATTCTCTCGTGGCTCTATCTTCTTCTTTAAACATTTCCCAGAATCCCGATTTTTTTCTCAAAATTCTAATAATTTCCCCACAATTCTAATATTTTCTTCTCAAACTTCACTTTTTTTTCCTCCTAATATTTTTCCTCAAAATTATATCATTTTTCTTCAAAATTCTCAATTTTTTCTCTCGAAATTCTAATTTTTTTCCTCAAAATTCGCAAGGTTTTCTTGTAAATCTAACTTATTTTTCAAAATTCTCTCACAAAATCTCTGAGTGGATCAGCTGTTCTCTCTTCTCTGTAATCTCTTCTGTTCTGTAGGATAATGCTGTAAGTGTGAATCTTTACGCCTACTGACTGAATTTTTACACGTGGCCCTAATTATCTTCTTTTAAAATTTCCCAGAATCATTTTTTTCTAAAAAATCTAGAAAGAAATTCTCAAAATTCTAAATGTTTTCTCAAAATTCTCATTTTTTTCACAAAATTCTCAATTTGTTCTCAAAATTCTCATTTTTTTCTATTTTTATCGTTTTTTTTTCGAATTCTAACTTCTTTATAAAAGGTTCTCACTTTTTATTTTATCTATCTATTAGATTAGACCACTTTATAAAAATGCTGTTATCTCTTCTGTGTAGGCTAATTAACTGTGAATCTATACGCCTATACTGCCTGATCTTTTTTTTTTATATATATACACGTGGCCCTAATCAATCTGCTTAAAACAATTCTGAGAATCCAGATGTCTTTTTCAAAATTCTCATTTGTTTTGAAATTTCTAAATTTTTAGAAATAATTCGGACTTTTTAGAAATAACTACATGTTATTACTACAACCTACATGTTCATAAAGTAGTGTGTTCAAGGTTCAAGGCTTTTATTGGCCATACGTACATAGCTACAGTTTAGTTAGGAACATGAACATCTGAGGTCACAGGCTCCTCCAACAGAGCAACACAATAAAACAGAAAGTAAATACAAAAAGAAAAACAGTGAAATAGTGTGTGTGAGCTTAACTGTGTGTGTTAAACTAAAACGGAGCATTTCCTGTCAGCTCAGATTTCATTCCTGCTTCTTTAAACTCTAGTCTGTGCTCATGGGTTTCAGTGTTCGTGTACAGACTGAATCTGCTTCATGAAAGGCTGGTTTTCCAATCAATAAAATCATTTCTGATCCTAAATATCTTGGTTTCTACTTTTCTAAGGTCACAATGTTCTGTTGTCTTACATGTGTTACTTCACTAAAAAACATATTATTGATATTCATTTTCTCTTGTGTTTATTATTTGCATTGCATTTGATGTTGAGGTAATCCAAAAGTAACAGAAAGTAATCAGGTTACTTTATATTGTGATACTCAGAATAGGTAGCATTTTTAGTAATTGTAACTCCCGACCCTGTGCACGTTGCAAATTAAGTTAAATTGTGTATTTCTTTGTAAACAAGCCTCCAGGGCTTTAAGACATGACCTCATAGCTAATAAACGTCCGACATTATGCACACAGGCCGATATTAAACATGAAGCTCCTTCATTTGTGGCTCTTGTTAATCTTGTGTTTTACATTCAGTCCGGCCAAAACTTTATTACCCAGCCTTTTGTCCGCTCACCAACCTCCACTCACAAAGGAACCCGCACAAATCTGATTTCAGGAAACAGAGAGAGTGGGGAGAAGATGACAAGCGAAGCAAAACAGCGCTTTTGGGGACGACCTAATTCACTTGAGAAAGTCAGAATATTCGCTGATGCACTGGCCCTGCTCCTCTGCAGAATAATGTGATATAAAGCCAGTGTCTGCTCAACAATCCAGGCCGGAACAGAGGTCAGAT